TTTTCATTTCCTTCGAACACACTTACTAACGATCAATAAATCATTAATTTTCTGTTTTTTTTCCTGAAATTTTTGCCGCTTTTGAAAATTTGAATAATTTTTCCTAAAAAATGATCTGATAATAATGCAACTGCCAAATTTTATTTCTAATCGGAAGATAAACTATGCAAGCTGATGGAGAACATAACAATTGCTTAATTATGTAGCCTAGATTGTTTCAATTATTTTAGAAACAAGTTTGTTTTCAATTAGGTAAAAATGGTCGAGTGCAATGATTGAAACATGGAAATATCGAATAATTGTTAATTTGTACTTCAATAATGTTCGATAATCTAAATTCAAAGTCGCAGATTATCAAGTAAAAACTACTTTGTTTAATTATTCGATTTTTATCTCAAAAATGCGGAAAGATATCAATATTTTAAGTATTAATTCAAATCCAAAATAAATTATCCGATAAAAATTATTTCGTTTAATCACTTCATAGTTTATCATTCACTTTTGATCACAAAAAATTTAAAAAACACCAATAATAATAATTGATATCTTTTTCACCGTTAAAACTATGAAATATTCTTTCTAATTAAAATCAATTAACCATTCAAATCGTTATTTGTGTCCAAAATTCCCAAATGATTTGATGTTATCGGTGCTTGCATACTATAACCCGTGGCCAATGACATATAGTTGACGGATGACTAAAATAAAAGTTTTAATTTATTTCGAAAAAAACAGAAAACAAAGGAGCTAAAAAATCTTGAAAAAAAACATAGTAGTGATATTAAGATAAAAAATGAAATTAAAATTCTAAAAATCAAAAAAAAGAAAATAAACAAAAGAACAGTACATTTATTATATAAATTTAATTATGCAATTGAAGGATGGATTTTTCAGCGTATTTAATTTTTTTCAAGGATTTGATTCTGTTGTTTAATTATCGTTTTTCCTTTCTTTCTGTTTATTGCTAATCGTAAATTTTTCTGCTTGTTCTGTCATTTCCTTTCCCAACAGATAAATATCAGATAACAAATCTTTCCCGTTTTATTTTTTTTTCTATTTTTTTGTTTTCAAATGAATAATACAAACTAATATGCGCACATTGATTGAAACCTAACTTAACTCGAAATTAATGTCAATTTTATTTTCTTCTTTTTTGCTCACTCAAAATGCCACATTTAATTGTGCATTGTGAATCAATTCAATAAAATTGAATTTTCCCTTTTGTATAAATTTCATAACACAAACTTTGGAAATTACAAAATAATAAAAAAGAAAATCGAAATTTTTGTAAAACAAGGGAAAAAATTTTATTTAAATGAAAACTAAAGAAAGTAAAAAGAATTTTAATAACCAAATTTTTATCGTCATTAATCCGGAACTGGTTCTGTGATGTTGCTGCAGATACAATCCCGGTTGATGATTGCATTGGTGATAGTGGTAATGGTAATGACAGTGATGTTGATGATGATGACGATGATGGTGGTAGTTGTAATTGTGATGGTTGTAACAATGATGGTGGTAATATTACTGTTGAATTTTCATAATTACGACCATTTAAAGGATAGGTGGAACAATGCTCATAATCATTGGTTGTATAACTCGAACCAACACCATTTGTTGTTGATAGAAGTTGTCGTAACATTTAATTATTCTTAATTATTTCAACAATATTTACTGCAATTAAACAAAAACATCTTAAAATTATTTCATTTATAAAATATAGGAATGAATCATACGCTGAATTCATCCGTTATTGGTAATTACTATTATGCTTGCCTTTTCTTTTTCCAATGTAGTAATTGAATTAATGTAATCACTATAACATTAATTAATTACATCAAGCACTATAAAAAGAATTAATAATGATAAAAAAGCACAGCTTATATATATATATATACGTAAAACAATTTCAACAAATTTTTAGTATGTAAAAAATTTTTGAAAAAGATGAAGAGGAAAAAAGATCAAAAAATGAGACATAAAATATTATATGGTAGAAGGAAAAAATTTGTCCACATTGAAGATGCAGGGCAATGATAACGATTGAACCACGAATAAATGCAAAAAAAGCTAATGAAAAATAAGAATTTGCATAATGATATCTAACTTATCATAAAATATGAAAGTCATGATAAAGGCAATAAAGAGCAACAGCAATATTTGTCTTTGATGTTACAT